ATAATCCACGCACATCCTTATCTAACCCTTTGCGTTGGTCATGAGATTCGGGGCAACCTTCCATTCTCTTGCATCCCAAACTGCTTCCATATTCATGTGGCGCTTGAGCCAATTCAGCGAAGACATGGTCTTCTGAGGGTTTATCCCAGCCCTTGCCGCAAATGGGGTTGGCCCAGCTGCCAAAAAATACACCTGCATCTAGTCCGTTCTCAGCCACGGTTTTGGCAGCTCTGATGAAGGTCTCGAGTCTTTTGATTTGACCAACTGGCAGAGCCACAAGCCCAGCGTCCAGGATGGTCTCGAAAGTAGTCACAAGGACACCGCATAGGATATCATCTAGGCGTGAAAGCCCGGACACAAGGGTATCTATGATGACTTTTCCGAGTCCGTCAAGATCACATCTGCATTCTCCAGTCACGAATTCATGACCGCTATCGTCTATATAAGAGAGGCCCATTTTTTTCATTTGTTGAAAGGAAACACCAAAAGAAAGACACTTGAATATGAGTGAGTATATTTTCATACTCGAACGTCTGGGTGATGATTTTTGGAGCTTCATACCGAAATATCATTTAATGGCCCAGACTGATGAGTTTCACAGTACTTCCTGCAGGGGGCCAACGTATTTTCAGATTGCCAGAAACCGCCATAGTTAAAACACCAGCCTTTCTCGGCGAAGGCTGCTATAGTCTGGGCATCAGATTGATGGTTTGAATTGGGGTTCTCTGCTTGAGTTGCCGGTAGGAGAAGGCTAAACAGCCAAAGCAAGAAGAAAAACTTCATGGTCAATGTTAAAGAATGTGATAAGTAGTGTGGTATTTGGGTATTTTGGCGTAAGAAAAGAGTGTATTATCGAAACGAGTGTGGTAAAAAGTAAAGACCGTAGGAGCTGGCAGATCCAGACAATATATCAAATGAATGTCAAGATAGGAAGCGATGGCTCTCTGGATAATCTCTGTATCCCCAGCTGTAGAGGCGGATACTGATGGCCTTTAAGTAGGCCGAGCCTGCTGGAGCAGCTAAGGCAAATGCCGTGCTCATGTCATGATGGGGTAAAGCCATTGTTATCTGTCTCTACTCTGCTCTCCATTAAGTGTTGTATAGACGGAGCAAAAATGTATGCCATCTAAGCCATGCATAGCATCCAACGTATGGTGATTGATGACAATACATGCATCAACCTGTTTGAGAATATCCATTTCCGAGATAAACGGATGGAATCCTAACATTTGAGAAAATCATTCGAGATACTGATTGGATATACGACAAATTCCATGGGAAATAGCTAGACGGACCGACGCAGCAGTGCTGGCAGTATGGGTATCAGTATAGCTTACAAAGCGCCCAACAGAGCCTGGGGCGGAGTCTCTGATCTCTTTGCCTATGTAATGGGTGGACTGAAGCTTGCGTACAGAGCCTCTTGCATTGTTGATCCTCATTTTAGGTGACTAAGATGTCTGGAGTACAATATTTTGCTGTTGTACCCGCATTGGGGGCAGAAAAAGGCTCACGATGCCCAGAATTCCCGAGGATGCGGAACGGGGACTTTTGTATTCTCCATCAAAGCCAATAAAGTTGAAACCGTGTGTTGATGAGCGTCTATGCATAGAGCCGCAGGGTAAAAGCCATTGTAACCCGGCTCCATGCATTGCTGACTATGGCTAGGTTTAGTCATGATGGCAGGTGCAGAGTAATTTCCGAGGTCCGGCGTCAGCATACGCTGGGTGGTAATTTGTAGTCTTTGTAATCCGAGCCGCCAGCGACTCTATTTCGCAGTGTAGATCTATCCTGGAACGCAATTCTGGTATTCCCACATCACTTTTCCTCCTCCTGTTACTTGTTGCTGCTGCTGATGATGACGATGATGTTGTTGTTGTCGCGACGTCGTTGAAAGTAGAAAAGTCGAAGTTGAAATTAGGGTTCGTCCCGGCTTATATAAATCAACTTTGAATATTAGCCAACCATAAACCGAAGATTTATTTAGGTCTCTATGATTGGTCAATAAAAGTCAACTTTTGAAGATGGCCTCATGAGTCACGTGAATCCCATTGTTTTCTATTTTTAATTTTTGGCCGAGTATAAAAATATGTAACGCCGCTAACCCATGAATAAATAACGGCAGTCTTCAGAGCAGGATCGATACTAACTAGCGTGCTAGATCACGCGACAGATACATAACTGGCTATCACGGAGGCTGTTAAAGCATTTTGCGCTCTACTCATTTCCCGAGCTGAGACGTTACCGTTATGCCCAGAGCTAGGACAACCGCTGTCCCGTTTCTGCTTAATGGTAACTACTCCGTACTTTTGCTTATAACGCTCAGATAGCACGGGAAACCAGCAACATGCCGATTGATCAGTTATGCCATTACTGCAATACTGGTACTTTTTCAAACCCCCGGATTCCACCAGTCACAGATTCGAGTCCGCCAGACAGATACGGCTTACAGAAGATCAGCTATCTGTTGATCTACGTCGGGAGATGTTTCTGAATAATTCGGCTTATGGTCTCAAGTGCCTCAAAATTCGGATTTTGTTGCACACTGGAGTTGATGTTAGGAGCTTTGTCGTCTGCTTTTTCTCCTAATGCTAGTCATGTCGAGCGAGCGGCCCATTTAATGCCATGACGTTCAGCTACATGGAGATCGTCACCAACCATGTTGCTTTAATTAAACGTGGCAGACCGCCAGCGGAGGGCAAGAAAGCTCCATGGTTGTCATTTTCGATCTATCGTCTGATATTCGGCGTTTCTGGTTTACTGCCGAATGTAGGAACCGAGATGATAGTCAAATGTCAGGGATGTTGATTCGGAGCTGTGTCAAGGCATCGAGATATATTAATTCCCCAGATGCCTGCGACCTTTTAGCGATGTCTTCTAGTTGGCCGTCTGCATATCCCTGTAACAAGCTAGCTAACTGGTTGGTTGTTGTTGCATGATATCGTTTACTTTTGGACATCTAGCAACCACACCACCACAGAATTTGGCTACTTACTGTCGATGCCTTTGATAATTACACCTTCTGCCAGATGTAAACACTTGATCGTGTCTACCAAGCTGCGGCCGAGGCTCGGATAAAGGGTGATCTCACGCCGAGAAGGCTGTGACACCGTGAGATGGAACATGTATATGTACCTTGACATTGGCGAACCAAGAAATCATATATCCACATGACCATGGAGCCAAATACTACATTATATTCAGTTGACCCATTTACCTGCATGAATAGTTACCATGCTCGAGGAATGGGTAAGAAGAAATTCAGAGCGTGAAGAATGGCAGTAGGAGTGAGGACTTACGTAGTCAACAGGCAGTTAACAAGCTGAGAGGGTGATTGTCAGTCGGTAGCAGGGTAACTAATATAAAGATAACCAATAATACACAGGCGAGGGCAATATCAACGGCCGGGTTGGTTGGAGGATTTCCCTTGATGTGCATCACTAGTTAGGCCCACGGAGGCGATCCAAGGCTAGCCCGAGTCAACCGTCTGGAGGTCCTGCTGCCGTGCCAGACACAAATAACCACCGATCTAGTCAACTTTAGCAGACCTCTAGGTTTGGGTTGCATCCCCTCGGGTGGAGGGATCTAGGGAGTTGAGCCGCAGAAGCGGGTGAGATGGGCCTATAAGTCCCACCTGATATGCATCCCCAGAGCTTGACCCTTGACCTCTTAAGGGGTTGTAAAGACTGACCGGCTCGTCCAGCCGTGTCAGGGGGCGCCGTGCAAGCTGCGTAGTTAGTGAGCAGCACCAGCAAAAAGAGGAGGCACAGCTACTCCCGTATGGTTGCGCAGGAAACATGGCATCGGAATGGCTTGCAGAAGTTGAGCCGGAAGAGTTAAACCAAATCTTTGTTGATGTTGCTGGCACGCATGCAGTGCAACGGCACCATGCTGCAAGTTGAGGCCCAAATCTCGGGGTCGTCAGGGTTTGTTCCTGGTCGATGATCGTCCCGGTGACTTCGTTAACGCGAGAGTCAGCTAGTTATTCCTATATTTGCTTCTCTGGGGCCTTGCCATGGTGTCTCGCGGACTGACTGCCCCCGGAGGCCTCGCTCCCCCCAGAAGTCAGCCGAAGGAGGAGGCAACCGGGGTCGAACGGGCCATTGTGACCTATACCGGCCAGTCTAGCTTCTCAGGCCGCCTGCTGCTCGTCTCCCGCCTGTACTTTTTTGCATCTTCTTTGCTTTTGCCACGGTCGAGGAGTTGAAAGAAGCAGCACCACCACAGATCGCGAGCAGGTCCGCAGCGTCGTGCAGAGGCCGCTCTATATATATATATATATATATAAATACTCCGTATATGTATATATATAAAGACGCACGCAGCTCCCGCCGTTGACTCGGCTGTGCTTCTATAGTCTGTAGTCCTGGCATCGTCGTGTATAGAAACGACCAAGACATTGTTGATATTCTTGACTAATAGCCGGGATCCTGTTTCGAGATGGAGCACGCGAGATACGCCCATCCGCGGCAGACTCCCTACCCATCCAGCCGCTCCATCAGCACCATCGTCGCCTCCATGTTTTCCAGCCGGCGCCAGGCCAGAATAGTGCTCGTCCTGCTTGTGCTGGGAGCTGTCCTGGCCGCAGTCTTCTCGGGGGCCTCATATTCCGCGTCTTCGTCTGCGTCGGCGTCAGCTTCGTCTGCGTCTTCACCATGGCTGCGTCGCCTGCGCCGGTCTGTCCTCTCTGAACGCTCGCTGGCGGCCGTCCTCCCGGCATGGGCGCATCTGACGGCCTCTTTTCTGCTTGCTCGACAGGCGCCCATCGTCGTCCTGCGCCAGGGAACCCTGATGGGCACGATCCGTGACGATGCTGACTTCCCGCATCCACTGGAGGCCTTCTTGGGCGTCCCCTATGCGCTCCCGCCGACGGGAGAGAGGCGCTTTGCCAGGCCAGAGCCGGTCGAGAGCTCCTCGCGCAAGATAGATGCCTCTCAATATGGTCTTCGGTATTGCTCTTATTCAAGTTGTCGTGGTTGTTGCTGTTGTTGTTGCTGCTGTTCATGCTGGCTGACCCTGCTGATAGATGCATTGCTGGCTCCCTCGACGGGAATGACTGGGGGGAAGACTGTCTGACCGCAAACATCTTCCGTCCCATGGAGACCAAGGCAGGTCAGAAGCTGCCGGTGGTCGTCTATTTCCATGGAGGAGCCTTTAATCTGGGTGCAGGTATGCTCTTCTGCCTTTGTGTCTGCTTGGCTATATTTACGATGGACCCCCAATGTTGACCCTTTTAACCAGGCCGATTCCACAATACAGCTGCTCTTCTGGCTTGGTCAGAGAAGCCGTTCATTGCTCTCAACTTCAACTATCGGTACGTGTCTATGCATTGTCTCTTCTGGAACTGACAGGCTGATATTTTCATGCATTCAGTCTCGGTGCATTTGGCTTCCTGTCAGGAGAGCTGATGGCAGCCTCCAACATGCTCAACACAGGCCTGTACGACCAACTCATGCTGCTCGAATGGGTTCAACGAAACATCGAGCAGTTCGGCGGTGATCCAAACCAGGTCACGATCATGGGCCTCTCGGCCGGCGCTCACTCGGTAAGAACCCTGCATATCTATAACAAAGAGTACATCTGGCAGCTAACTAACCCATGCTTGCTCCTCAGATCGGCCACCAGATCATGTATACAAAGAATGGCGGACGCCCACTTTTCCACAGAGCATTGCTGGAATCTGGGGCTACCACCGCTCGCGCTGTCTACCCTCCCAAGGCTCCTCTACCTTCAGTGCAGTTCGATGAGTTTGCTCTTGCTTCAGGCTGCTCCAATGTCGATAGGGGCCAAATGATTTCTTGTCTCCGGAAGCAGTCCGTTAGGACTGTCGGACAGGCTTCGATTGATGTGTTCAACCGCTACAACCCTTCTGACCGGTGGGCCTTCCAGCCTGTTATCGACGGTAAGATCATCCGCGCAGCACCCATATCCGCTTGGGAATCTGGTACATGGAACAAGATCCCCATCCTTACTGGCTTCAACACTGATGAGGGATCTCCATTTACGCCTACCCGCCTGGATACCTCGGAGGACTTCACCAAGTTCTTCAAGGAGTTGATACCCGCCTTGTCTGAGTCGGATTTGAAAGAACTTAACAACCTATACCCTGATCCGGCCGTCCACCGAGAATCACCATACTACGACACTCGTCCCATAGATGTGGGTTCACAGTACAAACGTGGAACAGCAGCATATGGCCAGTATGCATACATATGTCCCATCCAACAGACCGCATACCACGCCTCTGCAGGCCAATCTGCCCCTGTTTTCTTGTACCACTGGGCTGTAAACACAACCGTTAAAGGCGGAGCAAGCCATGCAGACCAGTCTGCATATGAGTTGTACAACCCTGGTATTCGAAAGATATCCAAGACCCAAAACTTGCTTGCGGGATACTTGCATGCTTATTTTACTTCCTTTGCCACCACCGGAGACCCCAATGCTATCAAGGGCAGATATGCAGACAGGCCTCGATGGGCTCCTTTTACCCCAGGGAAAAAGAGCGGCACCATGGTGATAGGAGAAGGGAACGATGAGCGTGCTGGCGGGAATAGTATCGGCGTCGTGGCCCGGATGGGCAATATCAGCTACACCAAGGAGGAGTGTGACTTTTGGTGGAAGAGGACGATCTTGTCGGAGTCGTGATCACTCACATACATGCATGAACATACTTGCTTGCATTGTTTTTTCAAGGTGCATTAAAGGTTACGGTCATTATTACTACATTCTTTTTTTTTCCCCCTTTATCTCGTTATATTGTCGTGTTATTTGTCTCGTGGATAGAGACTCGGAATAGTGACACCGGATTCGGACTGTCCTGTCTATAATTGGACCTAGTTGCATGGACATATATACTCTTCCTATCTACATGGTCAATTCCAGCTCAAGCAGTTGATTTTTATCAGTAGCCTGTGCCACCAGATATATCCTTTCCAAGCCTATATGCGCCAATCTTCTCCCACTCGACCTTCTGTCGTGTAATAGGGAGCTGTCGACGCAGGCCCTTGAATGCACCCTCGGATAACCGGTTGAACGCATCATTCAGTTCTTCCTGATGTTCTCGCTCGGTAGTTACAATACGCTTAAAGGCAGTATCGGCTGGGGAGGCCGAGGTTATCGATATGGACACTGGCTTCTTGTTGTTGAGAGAAACATTCCCGTCTTCATAGTAATGAACGTCGACATGGATTGTGCCGGTGATTGTGCCACCAGAGGACACCGGCACGTTGTATATGGCGCGATATCTACCGTTCCTAAACCAGAGTAAGTAGCTAGATCAGCTTGTTTGTGTGGAAATTTTTCTATACCAGAAATTGTTAGGAGAGTATTTGTTCGCTACTAGAAGGATGGCGATGGAAGAGTCGTCCTGTGAGGGATAAACGCCGTATGAGCTGTTCGGGTAATGTTCACTGGCATGCGAGGAGAGGAGTTTAAGGTAGGATTTTCTGAATGGATCGGTTAGTATTGGCATTGGCTGCTTGTAAGGAGCAAAGGAGGCGCTAGTTGTTAACTGACATGAGGTCTGCGTTCTGAGATTCAAGCACATATGACCGGGGGTTGGAGGCTGTCTATATTGGCTTATAATCAGCAACATGAAGGTCATGGAGATCCATGAAAGGGTAAGACAGAGCGTACTTGTGAAACATGGTCAAAGTCGAAGGAAGTCTGGCTCTCAACATCAAAATACCGGCCGTCTTCGAGCTTGTTATAGGAGCTAACGATAACCTTCCTAACCTCAGTATCCCAACCCACTTTAGTTTATAGTATAGAGTATACCTCTCGACTGCTTCCAGGCAGTTTTATTGTGGCAAGCTGTGCCTCGTTGTATCTTCTGAAGGCCGGTTCGAGGGAAGGGATAAGATTGGAGTTGGAGGTCAACGCCTTGATATCTGGTGTCAACACGGTGTTAGAATTATGTCCAGATCAATCGCTGAACACATCTGTAGACTCACCAGCAACGACGTCTCTAAGCTAAATGGATAAGTTAGCTGGTGATGTGCTATCTTGCAATGGTGGTGCCTTGCGTACCTCGCCTGGCGGGGCTCCCTCTATAAACGAGGATGCGATTTCGGCTTGAGAAGGCATTATTGAGATAGGCCGGCGGTAGAAACCGTCTCGACAGATCTAAAGAGATAAAAAAGAAAAGCAGCAGGTCGAAGGTAGAAAAAAGAACAGGTCTCTAGAATTAATTGCTTGCTCGTTAACTACTGGAACTGATGATGCGCCGCGTCGTCGGCTTGCTTGGATGTTGTTTTACTTGGTGAAGCCCGCGCCAAGCCAGATTAGATAAGCTGCCGATAAGATCGATAGGTAGATAGATAGCATTTGAAGTAAGGGGGATATTATCAAGTATATACAGGAGAAGATAAACGCCGTTGATAGACAGAGATGCCTCGCTAAATGGTATAGATGTGTAGAAACGCTGCAGGAGGTGTAGATGAAGATAGAGAGTGAATGGAGAGTGCAAGGGTAGGGGATCAGTCAATGGTCATCTTCATGAAGCCGTCGCTGGTCTCGGTCATGCCCTGGAGACCGACTCGCTTGACTGGCCCGGAGGGCGAGCTGGTGTTGGCGGTGGGTTCAGCTGGATGGCTTCCCTGGAACAAGATGGCCTTGGATAGGTGGCCGACCCGGTTGGCGTCTGAGCCAGCAGAAACATGACCTTGGACAGGACTACTCTGGACGCTGGGTCCTGGAGAAACAGCCCGACGCTTGAATGAAGCCAGATCAAAGTCGTCTCCCCGCCGTCGTTTGTTGATCTTGGCGAATGTTTCTGGTTCTGTGTCTATGTCTTTGAGCATGCCTGGAGACGCCATGGCTGTATCCCTCGCTGAGAGGGGCGGTGGGGTCCTGTACCGTCCATCGAAGGCGTTCCAGAAGTCGATGCCACTAGAGTTCCGGGATACCTGCCGGCTGAAGCTGGTGGGCGGCCTCTGATGTGCTTCCTCGGGGACAAGGCTGGGAGGGGTGGAATCCTTGATCTCCAACGCATTGGGCAGGATAGATTGGGGCTGCGGAGCGCCAGACGCATCGTTTTCCCGCACCTGGCGGACCACTTCTGCCTCTTTCTTAGTATCGCTCTCCACCGGAGCGCATTCTTCAAATAGAGTAGCCCTGATGCGTGCAAAGTTTTTGGGTTTTGGCTGTAGCCATGATTAGCATGGTATTATATGCACAGGAATAGAATAGCAGGGGCGAGGACATACCAAAAGATTCCCTCGTCTGGTCACGGGCCGTCGAATGACGCCTCGACGACCAGACTCGGAATTGGAGCCTCCGGCAAGCGAACCACTAGATGGGCTGCTGACGCCAGCCTGTTTCCCGCCATCCACGTCGTCACTCCCGTCGGAAAGATGAAAGTCAGAGGGAATATGGGCTAGCTCATCTAGCTTTGACTTGATGTCCCGTGGGGCTAAGTTCTGGGACAGAGAACTCCCACCGACGCTATCCAGGGCCTTCTCTGCTGGTGGGGATCGGGAGGTAGCAAGAAGCCTGGGACTAGCACCGCTCGCACTAGAAGAGCTGTGTCTCTTCTTACTGTTGCGATATCGTGCTCGCTGGAAGTTCATCAAGCTCGCCTTTGCGGCAGAGAACCCGGACATCCAGTCTGCACTGGACGCTGGTATCAAACTGGGAGAAAATGGAGCAGAGAGTCCTAGTCCGGACTTCTTTGCCTGGGGAGTGATTCCGCCGGGGTCCCCACGGTCAAAGCCATGGATAGACCCGTCATCGTCTTCGTCATCGGTGCTTGACGAGTCGGAGTCGATCATGTTGACGCTGCCCACAGAGCTTGAAATGGCGGTCCTCTCAGCATGGCTGCCAGCAGAGGTAAGGCAATTGTGCAGTTGGTGATGCGAACTGCTGGGAGACCCGGCCATCCCCATCCCCGTGCTTCCAGCAGTCCCACGCCGTTGCGGTATGGCAATCCCTCTGCCGCTGACAACGGGAGACGAGTCTGGAGACGACTCTGCCAGCGTAGAGTGGTGTAGGTTGGTGCAAGCGCGCGAAAAGTCCAGCCCTCGAGAACGCCGCGGCAGGACAGATGCCGGCGAACCGAACGAGTGCGAGGAGTCCAGCTTCGGGGACAGCGGTATTCGAGCCGCTGCATGGCCGCTCTTGGGGCTAAACGGCTGTGGCATGTTCAGAGAGAGTCCCAGGTGCGGTCGACTCGCCCTCTGTGGCGTCTCCGGCGATGGTTTCGGCGCATCCTCTCTGCTCTTGACGGCGTCTCTGAAGCCCAGAGGGGTCGACTCGCGCGGGGGAGGCTGCGGCGCCCCCCCAGCGCCCTCAATCTCTGCTTTCTCTGCCATAATCCTTCATGTATCGAGGCTCGTATCTATGGTCCTTCGTTGTTGATGTCGTTGATGTTGATGTAGTTAACTACCTAGTTACTAGTTGTTGTGGTTGCGCCGCACATCGCAGCTGCACCCGCTGTTGCCGCTCGCCCGCCCGTCGCACGCGCTTCCTTGCTGCGTCTCGTCCGTCTCAGGCTTCTTCCCGCGCTGTTCTTCTGCTTTTCTTCGCATCTTCAGCTCGTCGTTTTTTTCCTTTCTTCCGCTGTTTATTTTCGTCGCCTTTTTTTCGACGTCGAAGACGGAGGACTCGAGATCTTATGTAATCAAAATATGACATCAGCTCACGTGACAGTATTATATGGAACTGGAACTTTCCGCCCGATTAGGAAATATCAACGATCGACGAAGAAGCAAAAAACTTCGACGTCTTTTCGCTCTCGAGCTCCAGCTGCGGCCTTCATTTCGACGTCGCGCGCCCTCGTTGGCGCTGCTGAAGGTGGATTGAGACGCAGATCCGGGGCGAGGCCGAGTGCCGTCTGTTTTTTTTTTTGCTTTCTTCCGGGTTCCACATGCTGCTGGCTTGTTGAGCCTCCAAGGTACGTCGCGATCTCGGATTGACCCAGGTGTCGGCAACTCGCGCGCAGAGCGTCGCAGGAACCGGTAGAGAAGTGATATAAGGCGGAGCCGATAGAGCGAGAGCCTATCTGCCTCGTCTTGCTCTTCAGTCAACCCTCACTTTGTTGTGTGGACGGCTTTGCTAACCGGTTTTGTTTTTTCACTGTTCAAGATGCAACGCGGAGCTTCAGGCGAGACAACTGAGGATACAACTACCTTTACGATAGATAGTGAGAGCGCTCCCGAGAGCTCTACTAGTCGCACGAACAGCGTTACGTCGGGCCGAATTCTACGTATCAAGCTCCCTCCGGCCTTTTGGGATACATATCACCAGTTCAGAATGTCTCAGGAGGTGCCAGACGAGCCGCCGACCAAGCGCCAGAAGTTCACACCCATACCAGAGCCGGAGCCGATGGCATCAGCGGAGGACATAGCAGTGGCAGAGGCGGCGGCGGCAGCAGCAGCAGCGGCAGCAGCGGCAGCACAAGGACCACACAGGCATACTCCGGGTTCCCAACTCCAAATGCATCAGCAGCAACAACAACAACAACAACAGGAGCAGAAACATGCGCAGGAGCCTGTTCCGCGGCCTACAATCGTGGATGTTGAGAGTGGTAATAGGGAAGAAGTGTTGCAGAGTGATGTCTCTTCGTCATCCGACTCCTCATTGTCAGACGGCGATGCAGATATTCCATACTCCATGGCCAACGACCCTCGCCCGACAGTGGAAGCTCCCTTGCCTGTCACTGCCACTGCCAGCACACCCGATGGCTCACAAAATATACTGCCTCCGCCCACTTCAGAGAAGCCAGGTGTCAGGGTGAAAACGCCCTCTACCCCTGTCCCAGGTATGACTGACCGCTGCGCCCCTTTGACATCCCTGTCTAATTCTCTTTGTAGAAGCGAGACCCAGCGTCATGGTCACAGTTGTTGGTCGCGGATCTGGGAATTTCCCCGTCTTGCACGTTACGCCCAACTCACAACTTGCCGCCAGCCTTCGTGATATTCCCTGCGCAAGACCCATTGCCTGGCGTAATGCCACCCCGAGGGAGCTCCGCAACCAATGGACTCGAGATGCAACTATTTATTTCTCAAGGGGGGAACTTGCTCCTGAACCCTGCACTTCGTGTCTGCGCGGGAGGGGGCCCTTTGAACAGTGCGTCCGTCCCCCGAACCCAACTGGCCAGCCACCCCTAAGGGGCGCCTGTGCCAGTTGCATCTGGACGGGCAACCCCAGAACCTGTTCTTTCCGTACGTCTACCCCCATCTCTCTAAGATATAACCCCCAGACACGCCTGAGACTAACATGACCCCTCCAGATCCCGACCATTTGGTACTTGGCCATGTTAACCCGACGCCTTCAAAGCTCGCAAACAAGAGGGCCTCCATAGGTCCACGAACCCCACGCACTCCCAATACGCCATTGTCTGCTAGACCCTCAAATCCCACGGCATCTCGCCCCATGCCTTCCCGTGAACTCTCCTTTAATCCCCATCGCAACACCATCAATGGAAATGCTAGCAGCAACCTCAACAGCAACGTACACAACGGTACTCGCGTTCACGACAACATCAACCCCAACCATAACCAAAGCCAAAGCCATAACAACAGCCATAACGTCAACCACATGAACAGCCCTCAGCCTAACGCCAATCCGGCGGCCTGTAATAACGGAACACAATCCGCGAATAATCTCCCGGTTTCTCCCGCGCAAACCAATCCATCATCCGTTGCGCCATCCCCTCCAAACCCGCTGAGCAACAAACCTCTCCCTCAGGCCTCCACTAAACCTCAACCCAACCGTACCAACCCATTTCCACATCACTGCTACTTCAATATCCCTGAAAAGCTTAATGGCGGCAATCTGACTGAGGTCCTTAAAGCTATTCAGGAAATGGAAGCAGTACGAGCAAAACTCAGAGAGCGAGCTGCTTTTTTAGAGCAGCTGGGTGATAACTGGTAATGAAGCCAGTTTCATACAGAGAAACAACGACCAAACCTTCAAGCGTCGGGGATGAGGATATATATATTCTTACTTCTTTGGTTCCCATTTCCTTCCAAGTTACAGTCCCGGCATGATTTACATGTATTTTTTTATATCTATTAATTACTTACTTCTGCGCTAAGCTTCCGTGTGGAAGCTTCTATAACAGGGCCGGTATGATCACAGGCTATGGCTCGTTCGTCTTTCTTGAAAATTTCTTACCCATGGAATACCCTTACTGTTTTATTTTGTTTAATACCAGCCTCGAGAGCTACTATTTACAGAATTATATATATTGACTTATAATGCATGGTTGGTCTACTAGGATTAGAGTGCAAGTAAATAGGTTGAACTGTTATGAATATATATGTGCCTTGTGTATGGACCATCTTGATGCTGTGTAGTGAATAAGACAAAAAAAAAAAAAAAAAAAACAAAGATAAGGATAATCACTAGTACAAACATCCAGAAACGCCTCGCATAGCCCACCATGAATGATTCTAAAAATACAGATCACAAACTGGATACCAGTGCTTACCGCCCGCTGCCAAGAGGTTGCATATGGTACGCCTGCTCATTATACACTTGCTGCGGCTGAAACGCCTGCTCCTCATCGCCAACTCGTTGGAAGCCATGCATCGCCCCCTGGTCATCGGGATGATAAGGTGTATCACAATCTGCAGACCACAGAGAAGGATAATAGCAGCGGTACACCAAGTACGCTGTTCCTAGACCTATAATTGACCCGCTGCAAACATCATACACGTCGTGACGGTAATCTGCTATGCGGGAGATGGCAATCATGAGTGCTCCAAGCAGTGGAGATAAGGAGACAAGCAGACGGGCAAGTCCTGATCGAGGGCGCCAGGCCCGGAACTGACCAGTAAGGAAGCTTTCCAACTGTTAGAATAATGGTACCTGGACAGGAGCTAGTGGTAAATACTTACAAAGAAAGGTAACCCAACCCCGAAAATGCAAAGCTACTATGTCCGCTTGGGAAACTCCGCCAACCTTCGTTTAGGATATGCATGTCTGTCGATGTACATACTGTATGGTCGACCAATGTATGTTCTGGGGTACCCTTTTCTGGTTTACATCGTGAAATCAGGTCCGGCCGTGGCCTGCCAACGGCATTCTTGATTATATCGGTAATAAAGATGGTAACCAGCAGCGAAGCGATGAGGCCCAGGAGGGTGACATGGACGAAATGGCTCCCTGGCCGAAAGAGGGCACACCAGATACCGATTGCAAGGAGAGGGAAGATGCCGGAGTATATGATGCACCATACTAGTACAAAGCTATGTTAGATAGACTGACGTGCTTTTTTACGGCCGTGTATGGTGCCTTACAGACTGGTACTCGCTCGACGACAGCAAAAGGGTATTGAATAGAGGAATTATCCAGGCTGAACAGCTGGTAGAAGGGGTGTACGAAGAGTTGTAGCTTTGATACACCAGTCAGCTAGCTGCTGCTTGATATCAGGGGGGGAGTCAACTTCGCAAAAAAACGTACCATCACCCACGCAAAGACGAGGAATATAAGAATCGAATAGTCCCCGCCATATGAGCGGCGCCAGAACCGCACGAGAGCCCCCAAACAGCCAGGCTGCTGAGCAAGCTCTGAAGCCTTTCGCCCGTCCATTGTCGTTCTCGTAGCTCAGGGGGCTAGCTTAGAGGAAGCGTACCTCTTTTGCATTTCACATATGTCTTCGGCACCGGAAAAGCGAGTCAATGGTAAACGAGTGAGTAGATTCTCTCCGGCCAGCCTAGTCTTCCAGCCACGTCCATCCAAGAGCCTTCCCTGCAAGTCCGCTGTCTCTTCGTCTCCTCGCTCGGCGCTGCAACTTCGGTCTCACGTCTGAATCTTTGGATGTTTTTTTTGGCTTTCTTTTTTGTTGATAGGCGGGATTACATAAGCAGGAGCTTCAGCAACGACGTTTGAAGGCAAGGAAGAAAAGACAAGCCAGAGCAACAACACGACATCGACGACGATTGAAGAAGAAATAGACGAAGAGGAGAGAAGACCGAGCCATTTGAGAGGCGCTACAATGGAAGAAGGGGCCCAGAGAGGCGTCACCGCAGCGTTTCCCCCGCCGCCACCGTTTTGGAGACACTTTAGCCGGGCGAACTTGAACAAGCTTGAGGATGCGAAGCGAGCAGCGCGGCCAGATGACGACCACGAGAAGAGGACGGCGAGCAAGGACTGGACGCCAGCTGAGCTTCAGGCGCTAGATGTGGCGCCAGAGCTGAAATATTTGATACCGCCAGAGCCGCCCACAACGGATTATGTCCTCTTTGGCGAGACACAGCAGGTTAGGGATTCATCATATCCTGGTCCGTGAGGACTTCAGTAACTGACCAGAAGGCTGCAGCTCTCCCCGAATCCCCCTTCGTTGGGTGACCAGGGAATAACTCAACTCTATCCGTCATCCTCTGCCACGTCTGGACACGCATATCATCTTACCAAAATCACCAAGTCCCTACTACTCAACTTCCTCGAACTCACTGGAATTCTTTCCATTGCGCCGGAACATGCCGAGGAGAAGCTACAGATGATTCGCACATTATTTATCAATGCATACCATCTATTGAATTTGTACCGGCCCCACCAGGCACGAGAGTCATTGAGCGAACTGATCGAGAGACGCATCGAGCTGGCCAAGGAAGACGTGAAGCAGATGGAGGAGATAGAAGGTAAAGTTGCTGGTTGGCTTGAGATGATGTCGAAGAGTGATAAAGTAGAGGAAGCCAGCGATGACAAGATGCAAATCGAAAAAGAGGAAGAAGAAGACCAAAAGAAAAATCCTAAGCAGGTCTCAGAAAATGATAGAGAGATTGAGGACGCGCGGGTGATGTGGAGGCTTCTGGATGAGATCGAAGAAGCTGGATGAAGCTGGATGCGTTACCGGTACCCACAGCCTTGTCTGGCCGGATCAAACACACCTACCTTCCCCCATACTAATTCTATACTGTAACGGTTGCAGAGCCGGCTTGCCTACAGGGCTCACTTCCTAGGAATGCCTCCTCGAGATGACACACATAAGGGCAGGCGTTCCTCATTCGGCATTGACAAATGCAGAGTTGACCTGGATCAAAAGCAGTCCTTCAAGTGCAGCTAAAGAATCCGGGCTTCAGCTAGGGAGACAGCTTTGTATAATTTATTGCACCCTATACATAGGTGGTGCTCTAGGGGAGTTACAGTTGCCAGTTGCTTTCCAGTCCTACCCCTAGGGCTTGGGATAGTCAAACGAATATCTTAAATTTTATCAAACAATGTGGACAAGAAAGTGGAAAGAATCATAGACGCGAACGCTGTATTTGTTTGAAATGGGTCATTGTCAACTATGTACAGCCAGCCGATACCCCAAGGACTTCCTCCATTCTCCTACTTGTTGATTCAACCCTCGATGACCGACCGAAACGGGAGGACGAAGTCAGTCTACATGACGACACAGACACATTCGCAGTCTTCGTCGCCGCAACCGCAGCCGAAGCACGGCTTCGAGACGCCCTTGATAGGCTTGGTGACGGAGGATGCCGCAGATGAACCAGAGGAGGTGGGCAAGGTCTCGTTGACCAGGGTAGTTTTCGTAGCTTCAGCCATGTCGATAACTATGCAAGAATTTTTATTAGCAGCTATTCGGACATATTCAACTTCCAAAGTCGTAATAACGTACATGAAGGCAGGCCTTGGTACGGGGTCACAACGGTCTTGGAATTGCTTGTTTGATCTTGGCTTCTTTTGAGATGGACGTGCGAGAGTAAGGGGCGTGTGGCTGGTTAAATACGTTTGCGTCTGCTACTCCCGGTGTACCCCTGGGTTAGCTGGCTGACTATCATGATGACGAGGCCGGGATAGCCACAGCTGAGATGGAGACGGCAGGTAAGCGAAAGCGTGTCTCAGCTGCAGGTTGGCGTGGAGCTTGTTTAGTCTAGTAGTACATTGCTGTCTATAATTTGTCGGTAAAAAGGGGAAAGTAGTAAAACTGAACAAAAGGTACTTTTTTTTTTTTCATCTGACAGGCAATAAATAACAATTCTTATCTCATTATCGTTATAGTTGGTTCCCGGCACCGAGCCGGTTCCAGCTAGGGGTATCTTGATTCTGATTTCCTATCTCCCTCGCACAATCCTGCCCGGCATCTTAATCAGTTAACTGGGGCAGGGGCTTTCTCTATAACATGTATGTATGTCTCATCCCCGTCTATCCACTTTTTTGCTTTGACATTTATGAGCTGAGTTTTTCAACAAAAGCAGCTGCTCCACCGGGCTGCATTTTATTAATCCATTTGACAAGCTCAATTAGCTCGGACCGGCGTTCGTCATCTAGTTGGTCGCTGTCTCCAGTGAGAACGGACTCAAAGATCGGCAGCAGACGGGGTGTGAGTTGGCTGATTGTAGGGTTCTCCCATTTATCTAGGATATGTTAGCCTAACCACACAGAAAATTTTTTTTAGAGTTAATAGAAATATCAGGGGAGGCATACAGAGTTGGCAGATCATGCGGTAGATGGGTTCGTTCTCGTCAAAATCATTCTGCAGTGGGAGGACGTCAACCAGAGCAGGAAGAACTTCCTCCAATGGAACGTTCTCGTGGTGCTTAATGATCAGGCGGGCAATACATCCAGCAGCATTATCGGGGAGCCTAGCCTGCTGGATTTGAAGGCAACGAGTAACCTTCTCTAGAATGGCAGGGTAAGCAGCCACGAGCTCAGCATCGGCCTCGGATTTTTCAACTAACATGCCAACAGCGTAACAGGTGTTGCTACGAGTCTGCATGTCTTCGTCGGTAAGTCGGTGGGTGAAGAGGCGGAAGAAGTTGCCAGTGTATGGGGTGATGGCATTTCCGAGCCCAGAGATCACATCGGCGAGAACACCGATGGAGGTCGAGCGCTCGAGAGATTCGCTGCTAGCAGCGAAGCGGAGGACATATTTCTCGAATGCTGGCCAGAGAGCAACGAACTCAGCGCCGAGAGCGATAGCGAGGCCAGAAACAACATCGAGAGCGGTGTCAATGACATTCCAGTCAAATTCGGATAGCTCCTCCATCATCTCTCTGTCTTCATCTGTGGCATCAATATCCAACTGACATGGATGCTGCTTGGTGATGATTGAGGTGACCAAGGAGGTGACCTCTTCGAGATTCTCGCGGTTGGAGATCAAGTAAGGGCCACAGAAACGCAGGTTATCAGCAAAGTTGCGATTGATATCAGAGATCGCGGAACTATGGTATGCAGTTAGCATGAGCACCATAACGTGGCTTGTAGTCAAGATATATGAGGGTAGAGATATTTAATCAGATAAGTAGATCGCTGTATCAGCAATCGCCCTTTGGGCGTCTGCGTGAGCTGGGTAACGAGTGTTGTCATCATAAAAAAACAGGTAGGGGATGTATGTAAGAGCCAAAAGAAGACAAGGATACTTACGGATCGTCTTCCTCGGCCCAGCGTTGAAGGGTAACCTTCATTAAGATCTCACCGAGTTTCTTAAGCTCGTTTGGTGGCTCGCTTAGAGGCATGTTCTTGCCAGGCTGCCATTTCTGCATCTGCCCGGTTTCCTCACAGACCTGCCATAGAGCAGCATAAGATCTGTGGAGAGTGGACATAGCACTCTTCCTTACGCCCTCGTATGAGTGCTCGGTGAGCGGGAGGATATGCTGCATGGTCATCTCGAAGAAAGGCATGAAGGATTTGCCGGTGTGAGTAATAACGTCTCCAAGAACCTCAATGGCAATCTCCTTTTCCAGAGAGACGGGGGTGACGGTATTGAGGTTCTCCCAATCGTCCACGTCTTCAAACTCATCGTCATCGTCGTCGTCGTTATCGTCAGCACCGGCAACGCGGACCTTGTGTCCAGCAATAGTGACCTCCTGGCCAACCAGGTCCTTGGCTGCATCTCCGAGAAAGACTTCCATCTCGGTCTCGTTCTGCTCCAGACAAGTAATCAAGGCCTTCACTACACCTTCTAGGTATGGGGTGAATTCAGATCCGTAGACCTTGGACATCACACCCCAGAAGAGATAGGTGCTCTCCTTTAGGCGGGAGTGGTCGAGGTGAAGGGCCTCTTCGCTGGCTTGCATCAGTGGGCCAACGTAGTTCTTGAAATGCTCGGGCCCAGCACCAGATGACATTTCACCCATGGCATCGATAACACTGGCGCGAAGCTCGAGTTCCTCCTCGCTGTGCTTGAGGGTAGCAAACTCCTGCATAATATGCATGGACTCATCGAAGTAAGGCAGGAATGCCTCGCCAGCAGAGGAAGCGACTGATCCGAGAGCACTGGCGGTGTGGCCCTTGATCTTGAAGTCAGGGTGCTTGAACAGCTTCTGCAGCAGTGGGACAAGGTCGGTTTGGTAAGGAGCCACATCCTTGCCCTCCATACCGTCAACAACGGTGTCGGTTGCACTAAGGGAAGACTTGATCATGTCTACTGTTGGGCCAGACTCGTCGCCGTTATATTCTTGCATGGCGCTGGCTAGGTTCTTCAAGAGCAATGGCATGAGGGTTTGATGTTGCTTGCTGACATCGTCAGGCAGAACATCGGCAAGGCGAGCAACAGTGTCGAGAGTCGCCTGGCGAACGCTAGCTTCGGGGTCTTGGAGTAGACGGAAGAGAACGGGGAAGATCTCATGCATTTGAGTGCT